ATTATGTTATATTTCTACTTACTTGAATTTTTTTTATTAATTCAATACCACCAGAATAGTCAGCTCCAACAGCTCTAGCATTTTCTTGTTCTTCTAAATTCTTACTAAAAGCTAATATTGTTCTTTTATTGCCATTATGTTGAAATATATGTGGTGTATCAACTATTCTTGTAAATTTTTCAACAAATCTATTCTTCTTTTCACGCTATTATAAATATTTTAAATATTATAAAATAATTTTATTAAAATAATATATTTTTTTAATTTAATCATAATATTAATTATAATATTATTTCTTTTTATTTTATTACCTTCATATCTAATTCTATAAATGCATTAACAATTGCATTAGGTTTATTATACATAGTTGGATGATGTGTTTCACGATGACATTCTATAGCTTCTTGGAAAGAATAGATTGGTTGTTGATGATATTTTACTATCCATACATTATCAACTGCTTTCCATTTCCAACTATCATCTATAGTATTAAGTGGACAAACTTCTACTATTTTTCTATCGTAAAATTAATAAAATATTCAGTATATATATTGTATTAAAAAAATTGAGATTAGAAATTACTCACTGTTTTTTACGCTGTTTATATGGAACATATCCTATTTGTTCAACTTTTACTTGTTTTTTAGCTCGTTTTTTTTTGGCCAATAATCTCTTTTCTCTTGTCCCTTTTCTAGCTGCATAATCTCGAGTTTGCATAAGTAAGTAAGAACATACATTATATCTAATATTGAGGTTATGTATAGTACGAAAACTATTTGTTAACCAACCTATGAATATAAAATTAAATTTATAAAAAAAATAAAAATTATTACTATATTTGTTTTTAAAAAATTCATTTCAAATTATAAATAAAATTTCATGATCTATATATATTATTATGACATATCTTATGAAATATAAAAGATATATTATATTTATTAAATATAATATTTAGAAAAAAAATTAACTATTAAGTAAGAAAATATAAATTAAAAGTAAATTACCTGTCAACATTGCATTTAATATATAATATTGCATAAAACAAAATTTAAAGAGGTTAAGAAAATTAGTTACCAAATGTAATGCATACTAGGGACATTATACTCTTAAATATTCGATATAAATAAAATCTTAATGTAAATAATTTCACAGATAGTGCAGTATATATTTATTATATTTTTTATAACTATCATTTAAACATATATTATATAAAATTTTATTTATTTCTTCATAATATCAAAATATTTTTGTAACTGTTAT